CTCTCTCTCTCTCTCTCTCTCTCTCTCTCTCTTATCTGTGCATGTGCGTCATTGGCGAAGGAACGAACGTCGGAAAGGCGGTCATGCTCCCTTCTCAAATGGCGAGCACAAAGTTTGGAGAGGATGACATTGGTCTGTGGATTGTATTAAAAAAAAATTACTCATGCCATTATATATCGTTCAATAAGTTTTCTTACAAGTTTTTTTGCACAATCGTTATGACGACATGCATGAATGACAGATGGAGATGAGTCATGAACAATGCCCACGCGCAATGGAGATGGTCCTCAAGTATGCAAAGGAAGACATTGACTACACAACTGAAACAGAGTTCGACGAATTGCGAAATTGCATACCATCATATTTCGATGTGCGCATTGATCGCGACATGACATTGGCACAGCATGCTCATGACATCTCTCAAGCGCTTGTTTTTTTGGCACAGCATAGTCGATAGGTTGTACGAGCAGGTCGAAATAGGCAAGTCGAAATCACGGACGTCGGGAGTGTATGATAAACGCACTTGGAAGGGGGATATGAAAAGGAAAGCGTTAGCTCATGGATATTTTATACTTGGTCGTCGTGATGTTATGAGACCCGGATTAGAAAATTTGCTTGGTCTTGTACACTTGCGATGTGTTGTAGAGAAAGAGGACGTGCAATCTGTGTGCGAGTTGCCACGTGTGATTGCAAATGGTGGTGAGTACGTGATGCTGTCGCAGTGGACGAATTTGTGTCCATCATCCAGTCGTGCCCACATGTCTTTTAGTTATTTGGCTAGTATTGTTGAGATATTAGAAGGAGCCGAAGAGTTGTTGGAATACAATGCGATTGAATTTTCAGAGTCACAGTCCATAGCGGACAAGGCTATTGTGAAGTCCTTGGAGGCTCTTGCAAACACTRKATCGAATGAAGTACCACAAATTGTAAGAGAGTGTTGGGATGTTATGGSTGCARAATGCAGCGCAAGGGATGAAACATTGAAGTTGACATCCAACGAAGGACCAGGCAACACGGTCGTGGTAAACAGCGGAAGGACAACCCCTCTAACATGTATGGATTTTGCTTTGGATTACAAATATCAAGGTCCAAAGGCAATGGGATTTGGTGAAAGTGAGGATGAGGGAGAGAGTTGTGATGATGAAATGGACGACGATGATGATAACGACAGCCTGTGAAAATTTTGGGATAATCACGCGGACGGTTCATGTGATCCGCAAAAAGGATGGTGTCTCGCTGTTCTCCGTCTCGCGTTGACATTTGAAGAATGTCCTTCAACAATTTTGATTTGTTGTACGGACATCACAATAGACGGACACTTACAGTATGATTTTTTGTCGAGATTTTCTTATTTGCATCCAAAAGGGAAATATATTTCGAAAGGTGGAAAAAATTGGTAAGTGTTAGTCAGTTGAGAATTGGCGATAGCCGCATCAAAGAGTTTCGACGGCGTGGCAGATTTTCTCACAAAGGTAGGGATAAATCTTTGTCATGGTCAAAAAGAGAGAACGGAGAGTGATGACATCGTCTTGTGGAGGCAGATTATGAATCATGTGGTGAGGGAAGGTTTGGCGGACCAGGAAAAAGAGAGCGGCGGACCTGTGAAGGGTAAGAGAAAGGCAAGTAGTGCTTGCGAGGAGGATTGAAGCGACCATTCTTCCGTTGAAAGTTTTTCATTTTTAAGCAGGGTTGTGTTTCGTATATAATCCAATCTATGAACGACATATTTATGGTTTTTCAATTTGGAAATAGAAGTATTTTCATGCAAATCCAAAAACATTTTTTATGAACGACTTGTTTATGGTTTTTCAATTTGGAAATAGAAGTATTTTCATGCAAATCCAAAAACATTTTTCATGAATGCATTGCTTAAAAAATATTGTGAATGCGTCCTCTTTTCTTAGTTGTGAAGAATAAATGATCGTCGTTCATGAATAAAGTAAACAATTAATATGTGACGGTCAATTTCATGTTTGTTGCATCAATGATGCAGTTGTATTACAGGAAGATAACCGTGACGTATTCTTGACCATATGATACGCAAATGTCGAGGCACAGCAGGAATGTTGTCCCATGCTATGATTGCGGCCGCATATTCAGTCGTACGAGCTTAATGGAGTCGCACAGTTCGAAGGGGTGCTTAGCTGAGATACAACGTACTGGAACTACTAGTGATGCTAACGACATGAGTTCAGAGAACGAACAAAATGATAATGCCGTGAATATGGACATGCACGAGAATGTCGAACCAATCATTGATGATATTGCAGAAGAGGCAAACAACATAGACGAAAATGAATATTCATCGGATTATCGACTCACTGCAGTGATATGTTCTATGAGAGGAGGGTTGGGATTGTCAGATGCAGATGTGAATGCCTTGCTCTCCGTTATATGTCACCCTTCTTTCGATGCAAGCCGGCTACCATATAGAAATTCTCGTACTTTGAAGGGTTGGTTACGTGGAAAGCATGCAGACAAATCTTGGGAGCACATTGATATGAGGACAGATGATTGGCCGGCAGAAGCGAAGGCTGGACTTTGGGTGAGAAAATGGGATGTAGCATTTGAGACTGTGATTCGAGACGCACTGATGAACGACACTAACTATACGCTAGAGGCAGACTCAACATGTCATGAAGAAAACATGGTGTTCACGAATGCGAAATCGGCACAGTTTTGGAAACAAGCACAAGACATAGTTCGAAATGACAAAGGATTAGATCGAAATGGACGCGTAAGATATGTTCTGCCATTTATTTTGTATTCCGACAAAACGAATATAGATGGTCGCATGAAAACAAGCATGTATCCTCTGATGTTGTCACTCGCTGATAAGCCAGTACGAGCAACTTTGCTCGCATACTTGCCAATTCTTCAGACTTTGCCGTACACACGAGGTTGGACCCATAGTTCATCTGCATTTATTCGCCGCAAAAGGTGTGTATTCCATGAGAGTCTGACTATTGTATTGAAGGATGCAAAAAAGGCCTCTCATGACGGTATGAAACTTAACCTCCCGCGATACGGGAAAGTTACAGTACATCCGTTGCTGTTGAACTATGTGCAAGATCATCCAGAGAGATGTCTTCTGACACTTGTAAAGAACGGCAGATGTCCAAATTGCATTGTACTGAGCGAGAACTTACACGAACATATGGACTGCAACACGATTGTACGGACTGAAAATGTGGATCGCGATATATTGCATGGTGTACATGATGGTTCTGATCCTGACGCTCGTGCAGCAGCGATGAAGAGAGCGCTGGACTGGGGGATGCATACTGACGATGTAATGAATGGTTTGTGGGGTTTTTATCAAGGTCGTTGCGGTGACATTCTGATGTTAGATTACTATTATGCACTGCAAACAGACCGAATGCACACAGTAGATCACGATATTTTTGAATACATTGTTGAAGCCTTAAAGAATATATGCAAATCATTTCAAACACCGTTGGAATGCTTGGAGAACTGGATGCTCGTTTAAAGTGCGTAAGCAATCGAGGGAATGTCACGTTTCAAAAGCTTATATTGCCGGTAACAACGGGGGTAGACTGTTTTACACGAGAGGGACGATTTAAAGCTAAGCAAAATCGTGCCGTGATGACTGTCTTGTTGTCCATTGTGCACAACTTCCTGGACAATATAGAGGGACATGACTTTGTGAAGTGGTGTGACATGTTTCTCGAATACTACATAAGCATGTTTCGAGTTGTTAAACACACGAAGCATTCCTTAGATAGATGTGACGCTTTGCTCGAAGACTTTATGACTTATACAAATATGCGTTTCAGACATCTGCAGAAGTAAAATTGGAATATAGTAAAAATGCATGATTTGAATAAATTCAGAGGACTGTAGAACGATCAGGGCCCCCGAACACTTTTGCAGCAGACATTTGAGAACACAATCACATTCGTTTTTGCAAAGATCCTTATAAAACATCAAATCGAAGAGATCCTTTAAAGCAAATGGTGGACCACGTTGTACGAGCAGATATTTTAGAAGAACACGTATCCGTTGTGAGAAGGAAGAGAAATAGAGAGGAAGAAAATTGGTCAACGGTCTTGGAGGCAGAGAGAACATGTCGTATGAAGTTCACGATCACACTGTCATACGTCCCCGACCACATGTCGCACTTGCTTGCATACACGATGACTTTATTCAAAGAGCAGATGCACGAATCGTTAGAGCGACAAACTCGTTTCATGGTCGTGAGGTACGGAGTGATGTGAGTGTAAGGGGTCTCGATAACGACATTTGGTACGCTTGTGTGACAATATTTTTTGTGCTTCAAACCACAAAACGAGGATAAATGTTCAAGACGGAATGTGCATTTGTTCAATGGTACAAAGACTGCACGAGGAACTTCACAAATCGAACGTCATGTAAATTGATAGAATGGGAGAGGAACAGAGGCGTGCAAATGAGTAGCATCATCGATATAGACACAATAATTCAACCAGAACATCTTGTACCACACTTCAAGCGAGCGGCGTTTAGTCATGATATAGACCGAGCAACGATAGAAAAAATGTTTTTTTTTCGTCAACTGGTTCACAATTATTATATAAGACTGTCTCCAAGTCTTCTTCTGCTGCCTTATACGTTTTTATTATAAAATGCATCCTATTCTGCAGGTGTAACTATTGTACGATAATGACGTCGTTGCCTGAACGAGGTACAAATAGCGAAAGAAATGAGGAGGGAGCAGAAATATTTCTACACAAGACACCACGCCGAAGGATAAGGGTAACCAGTGAACCGAAAACTGGAGATGGTGCAAGTGAACCGCAAACATGCAAAAGTAATGAGAACAATCCGGGAGAAAATAAAGGAGTTGCACGCTCGGGAACGTGGAAAGGCAAAGGAGGCAGAACGGCTCGCAAGCACACGACCTCCAATCGCGGTCAAGTATTGGAAAAACAAGGAATATCAAAAAACAAAGTTCAAGGCTGTGTAGAGAAAGCATCGACGTCGAGAACTCAGGAATCGAAACGTGTCAGGAATTTCACGGCAGCCAAGAAGATGGTACCGAAGTTCAATAAGACATTGACGGACGAGACAATACAAAGGATGTACCACAGACCTTTGCTGTCATTATCAGTAACTGCCAGGAATCTCATACCGTTGCCTATTGCTACCATTTCTCATTCACCAAGAAAATACAATCGAGGGATGTTAGAGAGTGACAGTGAGAAAGAGACATTGCGAGATATGCGGCATGAAAAAAGATTAGCAACACACGATAAACAATTGGAGAGATTGAGAGAGAAAGTGAAAGGGACAGAAGAAAGAGAGGGATGGGCGACGGGGAAAGAAGTTATTGAAGAGGTCAATGTAGGAGAAGATGTCATGAAGTCTGTATTCTCACACAACTGCAAGAACACAAATCAAAAGAATACAAACGACGGATGAGTGTCTGTAACACGTGAAGACCTCACTAGCACAGAGAAGTTCATGCACACAGTCAGAAAAGATGCAACACAGAATGATGAAGCAGTGTCGAGGTTAGCGTCATCTGCAGTTGACAAGATCGGAGGAGACTCTGAAGTGAGAGTCAGCACAACAAGTCAACATATGATAACAGAAGAGCAAAATAAGGCAAAGACGAACCTCGATAGAGTGGAAACAAATGAACAGCCGACGTTGCCGGCTTCGAATCTTCTGGGAGGCTCGACTGACATTGCTGTAGATGACAAGTCAACAATTGCAAATATGGAGATATTGTCAGAACACGAAGGAAAGACATCAGGGGGAAGTAACCCAGAGAGGCCGCAAGAGTGTGAAGGTCATATGATAGCAGAAGAGCGAAATGAGGCAAAGACGAACCTCAATGGAGTGGAAACAAATGAACAGCCGATGTTGATGGTGGAATGTGAACTGCGAACGAGAATTGAAGTCGACCATGGAGAGACAAATTGTGTAAGACTTGCTCTACAACCGGCTTCGAATCTTCCGGGAGGCTCGACTGACGTTGCTGTGGAGGACAAGACAACAGTTGAGAAGATGGAGATATTGCCAGAACACGAAGGAAAGACATTAGGGGGAAGTAACCCAGAGAGGCCGCAAGAGTTTGAAGATCATATGATAACAGAAGAGCGAAATGAGGCAAAGACGAACCTCGATGGAGTGAAAACAAAGGAACAACCGACGTTGATGGTGGAATGTGAACTGCGTACGAGAATTGAAGTCGACCATGGTGAGACAGATTGTGCAAGACTTGCTGTACAACCGGCTTCGAATCTTCTGGGAGGCTCGGATGATATTGCTATGGAGGACAAGACAACAGTTGAGAAGATGAAGATATTGCCAGAACACGAAGGAAAGACATCGGGGGGAAGTAACCCAGAGAGGCCGCAAGAGAAGGATGAAGGAACCGGAGTTGTAGTGTATTTGGATGTAGATACAGAGGAGGGCGAGGAAACACAATCTATGGAGCAGAAGGTGGTGGCAGCAACTATTGATATAGTTCATGAATTTTTTCCATTCACATGGAACCCCCTGAACAATGAATCATTCACATTAAGAGTACAAGATCTCCAATGTCTGGGAGCGGGCAAGTGGTTGACGACAAATATCGTTGACTTTTACTACCATTACGTATATGACTCACTCACACGTAAGGCTGTTGACCTCTCACACGTTAAACTGTTGCCTGCTCTATAGTACAACGGAATCCAGGGGCTCACAAGGACGCGAGTTTGGGCAGCCCTCCTGATCTGGAGACGGTAACACGAAGTTCAAAGTCGAAGGCGAAAAGCATGAGGAGTTTGTGGAAAAATCAAGTAGTTATTGTTCCTCTGCTAAGCAATCACCATTTTACTATTCTCGTGCTGAACAACATAGGACGCATGCTACAACATCCACATCTCGACCAATCAAGAGGCTGCGCCATTTTCCACCTAAACTCAAAGAAACGATTGGGCAATCCTCCGTTTCAACCTTTGTTAGCCTATTTCTTTTACGAGCACATGGCATTACGGTATTCAGCTGATGTTGAAGTTATGACCTCGACCATTGAATCGATATGGAAAGCATTGATGCAAGGTGTATCTTTCATCGACGAGATTGATTGCCAGCAACAACGGAACTCAAACGATTACGGTGTATTCGCCACGAGGAATGTTGAGAGCATTCTTATGTGCATCGCAAACGACGAAGACTTCGAGTTCACGAAAGACACAAGGACGAAGGCTTGCGAACGTTTGTCGTCAAGAAAGCCTTGTGAGCAACGATACATAATGATCAAGGCTTTGGCGGAGTCACACCCCGCGCTATGCGGAACACAGACAACAAATGACAAGTACGTTATTTTCAAGAAGTTAGCATCAAGCAGGAGGAAGACATCGACAAAATGATGAAGCACGCACTGGAAGAGGTGAGCTAAGATATGGACGTGCGGCGACTCGTAGATTTCGTTAGTTGAAACATAAAACAAGTACGCAAATGATGATAAAGACAAGATAAGGTAGGTGAAATTTTTAACATAAGTCCACAAATTTATCATTGCATATGTAATGTGAAAATACGTGTTTTTTGTTCACGAAAAGCAGGGTCGAGATAAAGCCCCACTGCTGAGATGAAATTTCACTAATGACAATTTTTTCATGTCCTATGTTACGTGTCTTCTTCCTCTTCACAGAATCGGTGAGCGATATAGACGAAGTACTTGCCACCAATGGACAACCACACATTACGACCTCGTCGAGGGCCTGATGTTAAAGGGACATCGACGCAACGAAGGCTCTGCGTTCGCGAAGAAGGGTTGTCATGAAAGCAGACGAATGTCGGTGCACGTCTCGTACAGGAACGAAACAAAGTTCGAGATATAACACGACATAGAACATCTGAAGAAGTGAAGAGTGTACGAACAAGAACGGAGCGTTGGAGGACAAATTTGGTCGAAATGCACCGCGAAGCGAGCAAACGAAAATTGCAGATGGAAAAAACAGAGAAGCGAGATAACGACATTGACATCCGACGCAGGGAAGAGTCTTCAAAGTGTACTCCGAAGTCGAAGACAGTACACAGGAAAACGCTGGTCGGAGCAACCCCTCTTGCTCCAAGTAAGTACGTCATGGAAAAGAAACGGGAGCACAACAAGGGTGAAGCGACTGTTGTGGACAGTGCAGAAGTAGGAGGAAGCGGTGAGGATATCGAAGGCAGCATGCGTTGTGGTCGGCAGGCTGGCGAGAGCAGTGGAGGTAAACATATTGGAGGTCGCGACATTCAGCACAAGCAATGGCATGTGGAACGAGAATGTCGACAACCATCATTGACAGAGTGCGAAGACGAGCAGCTGGAGCAAAAAGAAGCAAATACGGAAGAGGACGAGAACAACAGAGACAACGACAATTTTGGTGAACGTGAATCGAATGAAGACGAGGATGATGATAATGAAGACGGTCGTGAAGAGGATGACGAGAACGACGCACACTTCACAAACGAGAAAGCAATAGGTAAAACATTGTGTGAAATCCTGTAAAGTTGTTTGTGGCATTAAAAAAATGTGGAAGAAAAAGACAACAACATTGAAAACAATTCTCTTGTTTGCATTCTCGCTTATGATTTGCACGTGCTTAATGAACATATAAAAGTAACCAGCATAATAATTGTGTTTTCCGTTTTTTTGTTTTGTTCTGTCTCTGTGTGCTCGTCCTCTTTGTTTGTGCAGTTATGCGAGGACGCGAAAAACGGGATGCGTCGGAGAAAAACAACCTGAACAACCGCATTAGTGACAACATCCACACGTTATACGCGCACTCCAAAATAGTGAAGCAATTGATGCGTTGCGTAGCGAAGGACTTTTGTTTATCCCGAGCCAAGGATGCAGAGATGTATCCGTCAGTCGACACGTATCTCGAATCCTTCAGGGGTCTCACCGAATCTCTGGACCCGGACACACGATTCATCGTAGATCAGTCGATGAAGAGCACAACACCGACAACACTTCGCACACTCGGATCAAGGGAGCTGACGAACATCAGAGGAGAGATCGCTTACGACATTGTYCGGGCTTTTTGGAGCGCCGYGGGGCTRCCTTATCCATGCGGAACTGTAAGAGATCGTTTTGAAAAGGAGCGAGAGGAGATGAGGACGAAAATGCTCGAACAATCATCGTGGAGAGTGAAAGGCGAAGAGCCGTCGAGCGCAACAGAGTTTAAGAATGTCATGCGAGACGTTTTATACAGAGATTGRAATGAAGCAGGTCGAAATGGTTGCACTCTCCAACAACTCGCATTCGCTCATATGGTGTTAGAGTGTCACATCAGCAACAAAAGTCGACCCGCACGCACGGCAGCAGCGAGCAAGGAAATGCGAAGAATAGAAGAAGCCATCGTGTCAACTTGCGAGACCTGTATCAGAAAAGTGACTATAAATGTGATCTCTCTCGATCGTGATAAGACCGTAGTGCAGAGTTCAAGGAATATATGAGAACGACATTTTGCTGGCAGAAAGAATGCAAAAGATGAGGTCGTTCAAATGAAGAATTATCATAGATTTTTCGAAATTTTTGCAGATAGTGACGAGGTGATTGCTGAGGAGAGGTCTTAGGACGTTTGTGATATTAGTATTTTGTTATTTCCGTATAATACTTTGATTTCGCATACAGCAAGGTGGTGGTGAAGACGTCGTGGGAGTTGAATATGATATTGAGGATTATTGATTGATTGATTGAGAGAGAGAGAGAGAGAGAGAGAGAGAGAGAGAGAGAGAGAGAAAGAGAGAGAGAGAGAGAGAGAGAGAGAGAGAGAGAGAGAGAGAGAGAGAGATGTTATGACGTCTGTGACATTCGTACTTTGTACGTTTTGTACAGTACTTGGACTTCGTGTACGGCGAGATAAATGTCAAGAGGTCATTCCAGTTGAATATGATATCGTCAACTATTTAGACTCGGAGAGAGAGAGAGAGGTATGTAGAAAGAGGTAGGAAACAAACAAAGGAGACATAATCGCTGTGATGTGTGTTTGGTATGATGACATGATTTTGCAGACATGTGTTATAGGTGTGTTGTGTATTGCTATGCTAGTTGGGGTAAATGAACAACAAAGACGACTATGGAATGTCTCAAGCGTTATGCAATTTGCTTTTTTTTTTTTTTTTTTTTAAGTGGACAAAACACGTTCGTGGTCATGTTTAAAGTGCCTCAGTGTGGATTGAATGTAACAGGTACAATGAGAAGTGTGTGTCGGATTTCTATTTTGCCAAAGAAAATATTGATAATTGGGATATTTGCA